TCCGACTGAGGACTTAGGCCCGCTCCCCCGAGGGCTCCCCTGAGGGCTCCTGGACTGTGAGAGCGCAGGCTGGGCTGAGGGACTCCCCTCCCCCAGTGCATGAATTTCGTGCACCGGGCCTCTAGTAGTTAATAATACTGTCCTGAATATTTGAAGGTTGCTAAGACAATAGATCTTAAAAGTGCTCTTCACAAGTGTTAATGTAAAAACATTCAAATCTGTAAAGAAATTTTTTATGAGTTTATTTGAGCCAAACTCTTGACAATTGCCAGGAAGCAGAATCTCAACGGATTGGGATAATGCTCTGGAGAATGGCAGTTTTTAATCTTGATTTATACATTACAATCTAAGGAGGAGATTGGTGATAGATTAGGGAGGTGGAGAAAGAAAAGGGGTCGGGGAGAACCTCTGGGATTGGATAAAAAGTAAAATGATGGACACATACTTCTTTTTTTTTAACATACTTCTTTTACTAAGGTGGATGCAGGAAAGTTAACAGTCAACAATTAACATGATAACAACAACAATGAAGGAATTTATAGTCTCTGTCCTGGTGGCGAGACAATAGGCTCAATTAAGGTAAAGATTGACCTTTATCAGGGAAGATACTGGTCTAGGACATGACTATCCACTATAAACTGCTTTTAGTTAAAGTTTTAATTTCAGACCATTGTTTGTGTTTACTTTAGGTCTTTGAGATTGCAAAACAGCTATGCAGGCTTCCCTGAACTAGTCAGGTTATCATGTGGCCTTTCTCCCCCCTCCCCCCTCCCTCCCCGCCCCATCCACACAAGAAATTTTGTAACTATGTATGGTTGTATGGTGATGGATATTAGTATTATGATAATTTCATAGTATATACAAGTATCAATTCATTATATTGTACACTTGAAATTAATATAATATCAATTGTAACTCAATAAAAATAATTAAATAAAATATTTTCCTAAAAAAATATATATAGATAGATAGATAGATTCTTGGATCCTAATACAAGTTTTTATTGATTTTCTTTGTGTCTAAATTCCTCATTTATAAATTCAGGATAATAGTACCTACTTTATTTATTTATTTTTTTAATATAATTCTTTATTGATTTCACAGAGAAAGAGAGAAGGAGAGAGAGATAGAAACATCACCGATGAGAGAGAATCATTGATCGGCTGCCTCCTGCACGCCCCCCCACTGGGGACCGAGCCCGCAACCCAGGCATGTGCCCTTGGCCGGAATCGAACTCGGGACCCTTCAGTCCGCAGGCTGACGCTCTATCCACTGAGCCAAGCCGGCTACGGCAATAGTACCTACTTTAAAGGGCTATGATAAGGACTAAAAGTACTTAGAGGAGAACCTGGCATATACTAAATGTGTTAAGTACATTGAAAGAAGAGTAATAGTTCTGAGGAAAAATTAGAAATTAATGATAGCACATGATAAGAAGCAAAGATACCTACATTAGAGAAAGATAAAAAGTGTGGCATGGTACATGACTCAATTGTAAATAGCACTTAAGTAGTCACAATAATGGAAAAGGGCTTACTACTCTATCTCTAAATTTTAAAATAAATATATTAGAAATATGAAGGGATTCAGAAAATGTGGTAGAAAGCAAATCTTCATCTTTCATAGTGGGCAGTCCGTTGTTAATGCCGAAAACTAAAAAACTAAGTTTTAAAATAGGTCATTGCAGTAATGAATATGGGAAAAGATAGCATTTTTAGGGTGGTAGTGATGGTTAGAGGTTAAAAGAATTTAAGGGATTTTGTGCAGTAAATGCAAGAGATATTTAGAAGATAAAAATCAAGAGGTCTTGCTAATGGACTGAAATGAGTAGATGAAGGGAAGGAAAGCATCAAAAGTGACTTCTAGATTTTTGGCCTACATTATAGATTGCACAATGGGAAAAGGACAAAATTGGGGGTTGGATAAAGGATGGAGATCATGAGTTGTTTGGGACACCTTGAATTAAAAACCCTTCATGCCCTAGCTGTTTTGGCTCAGTGGATAGAGTGTCGGCCTGCAGACTAAAAGGTCCCGGGTTCGATTCTGGTCAAGGGCACATGCCGAGGTTGCAGGCTCAGTTCCCAGTGGGCAGCCGATCAATGAATCTCTTTCATCATTGATGTTTCTACTTCTCTCTCTCTCTCCCTCTCCCTTCCTCTCTGAAATCAATAAAAATACTACCTCTCTCTCTCTCTCCCTTCCTCTCTGAAATCAATAAAAATATATTAAAAAATATAAAGTAAAATAAAATATAAACACTTCATCCCACTCAATTGGAGTTTTAAAGCAAGCAGTGGAAATACTGGTTCAGGGCTCAGAAAAGATACTTGACCTGGAGATATATAATTACGTGAGTCACCTGCAAAAAGTGGTCATTGAAGTCATGGACATGATTGACATCACCTAGGAGGGAAACTAACTGTATCTATTTTTAATCCTTCTCCTACAAATAAGCTCTCTAGCTCTTTGGGAGGAGTTTTGCTAGGTGCAGTGTCCAAAGGTCTTACACAATCATAGTTCCACTGTTAAGTAACAACAATAGGTTTGTACTGTTGTAGAATATGCCAAAATATTCCACAAAAATGCTTACTAGATTGAAAAGATAACAGGTTTCAGAGATAACAAATGGAGGTAAATTCTAGTTTCACCACTTCTTAAATAATGTAACTTTTTTTTCTTTTTGGTTAATCCTCAACCAAGGATACTCTTCTATTGCTTTTAGATATAGTGGAAGGGGGGAAAGGAGAAAGGGAGAGGGAGAGAGAGGGAGAAAAAGAGAAACATCCATGTGGGTGGGGATCAGGATAGAAGCTGCAGCTCAGGTACATGCCTTTGACTGAGAACTGAACCCTTGACCCTTCAGTGTGCAAGCTGGTGCTCTAACCATTGAGCAACATTTGCCAGGGTGATAAACTTTAAAAAAATATATACGTATTTGTTGATTTCAGAGAGAGGGAGGGAGAGAGAGATAGAAACAATGATGAGAGAATCATACTAGTACATGGGCTGCTCGCTCACGCCCCCTACTGGGGATCCAGCCAGCAACCCAGGCACATGCTTGACGGGGAATCGGACCATAACCTCCTGGTTCATGGATCGATATTCAACCACTGAGCCACACCAGCCAGGCTTATGTAACTTTTTTTGATCCTCAGTTTCCTTTTTTGTAAAAGAATTCAAAGAAATAGTATTGCCTCAAAGAGTTATTATGAAGAGTTAAGGTTCATGCTGTCAGGTGCCTAGCACAGTGCACTGTGTGGGACACAAAGAAGACCATCATGACTGGGAGGTCTTTCAGTACTTTAATTATATAGTAGGCAATGCATAAATTTTATTATCCTGATCTTTTTTTAATAAAGCATATAACAATAGTATGCATTTCATCAAGGAAGACTACAGTTATTCACCCATAGGAAGCTTCTACATATGAATCTCAACTATTCTCACCATACCCTTTCTGAGTCCTCATTAACATTTATACAGTCATATGGTTTTACCAAATTGTATTCTGTAAGTGATTTCCACTTCAAATTAGACACTTCACCAACACAGTAATTATTCAAACGTTTTTTAGAATTCCTCTTTAAGGAAGGGTTTTCATACACCTCCTGTGTCATAGACATTAGTGACTGAGTGAATGTTGATCTTTTGGGGATGATCACATGAGAAATACCAGGCCTAACGGTGCCAATAAACTTATCTAACATCCTTAGATGCATTTTTTCATGGGCATTGAAAATATTATGTGTTATTTTCCTTATGAATGACAAATAATCATTTTTATTATAAAATGTGTGGGGGTTTTTTGTTTGTTTTTGAGAAAGCCAAAAGTCGTTTTATGCTGTTGCTGCTGAATAAGGTGGTTTAAAATAATGCCAGGCCATTTGGGGGTGGGGGACAAAAATAAAAAATACAACAATAACAAGTGAGATTTAAATATTAAGAAATAAAATGTTCTCTTATGACCTATAAACGGGCTCTGAAGGTCATTTTGAATTGTTTGGGGCTCATAGACTCCGAGGGTGTCTACTTTGCCTTAAAAAACAATTTTTTTTAAAAGTCTTTTTTAAAGGGTGTCTACTTTGAAAGACAACATTCACGTACGTATAAATTTGATTTTAAAATAGGAGTTTCCTTCTTTATTCACAGGTGGGATATATATGATTGCATTTTACATACATGATTTCCTATGCTCAAAACAAGGAAAGTAGAAACGCAAAGAAAGGTCTGGCAGCAAATACCTTTCTTTGGTCCAGTCTTCCAGCATTGCATATCAGTATTTTGCCCACTTTTCTGACAAATGTATTTTGCTAAATACTTTTTTGGACTGTCTCCTTTAACACGAAATGGCCTAGTCTGGATAAATTCTGATGTAAATATCATATAACAGTTTAATGAAATAATACTTTAATATATATATATATTTTTATTGATTTCAGAGAGGAAGGGAGAGGGAGAGATAGAAACATCAATGATGAGAGAGAATCATTGATCCGCTGCCTCCTGCATGTCCCTTACTAGGGATCAAACCCGCAACCTGGGCGTGTGCCCTTGACCAGAATCGTACCGGGACCCTTCAGTCCGCAAGCCAGTGCTCTATCCACTGAGCAAAACCGGCTTGGGCTGAAACAATACTTGTGATTTGTGCGATGCAATCTGCTGTTTCCTTCCTGGTGGTATTTTATTTCCCGACCTCCACATTGACTTCACGTCCCGCCTATGGGTCGCGCCCCAGAGTTTGAAACAAACCTGTGAAAGAGAGCGTCTCCCTGCCGGGCTTCAGGGTTAGCGCACCCCCAACCCATCCTTTTTTAGGACCAGCCAGCTTCCCGCGCGCCGCCGCTTTGGTAACCTAGCAACCAAGCAGCATTTGCAGATACTTCCGGAACCTCAGGCGGGAGTTGTCCAATCGGCTCTGCCGAGTCGCCGCAAAGGCTGACGGGGCGCTGGAGCTGGGCGCCGGCGGAGTCGGCTCCAGGTGACGGGCCGCAACGGGCTGGGGTGGCGATGGCTCTCCGGTCCAGCTGGGCGGCCGCGGCCGTGACCGTGTTCCTCCAGTGGGTCCTCCCTGGCGTCTCACAGGCCCAGACCTTCTCCTTCCCTTTCCGGCAGCCGGAGACCTGCGGCCGCAGCCCAGTACTTCGACATCTCCGCGCTCTCCTGCGCCCCGTGCGGGGCCCACCAGCGGCGGGACGCCCGAGGTGAGACGGCGGGCCCGGCCCCGCGGACACCCCGGCGGGCTGCGGTGCCCGGTCCCCAAAAACGCTGGAACACCTTTCCCTCCGCGGGAAGAGTCTTTCTGGACAGTTAACCGCCAACGCCAGGGCGGATTTCCTTGGAGGGTTGCAGTTTGGGGGACCCCGAGTCCGCTACTTGGCTCCAGTGTCCCCCCTTCCTCCGCCGAAGGGTCTTTAGGGAGCACCCAGAAAGCTGCCTAGCGCAGGGAGAAAACATGGAGAAGCCATCTGAGGTACAGAGGAGCAGGCGACAGGACAGGTGGGGAGGGAATGCAAATGAGCCCTTGGGACTGGGACCACCGTTTATCTTACTCTTCAAAAGCCAGAACCTTAGAGCTGGAAGGGACCTGACACTCCCGCAGGTCCCGCCTCCTCACTGTACAGATAAGGACATGGAAGCCCAGGTGAGGTGGTAATGTCCTCTTGGCCACCGAAATTGGGGACCTGAAGAGCATGTGTCTCTCTGCCCTGAGCCTGGACCTATGTATTTCCACTAGAGCATGTGTCTATAATATTATAGATTTCCTTAGGACTTACTCCTTTTGTTATTGAATATTACTAATTGACCTTAAGGTCTCTTTCAATGAAGCCTAATTTTTATCTATTTATTTTTTTTTGCTTGAAATATCCATCATTTGGTCCTGGTTCTCTTCATGGAAACTGCTTAGAATAAGACTTTTCCTGTTCTAAAGTCTAAGATGTTTTTTGTTGTTTGTTTTTTAATTTATCTTTATTGTTGAGAATATTACAGATATCTCCCCCTTTTATCACCCCCTCCACCCCACACCTGCCCCTCCCTGGCCTTCACTACACTATATGTCCATGGCCTATGGATATATACATTATAAGTTACCCTATTAATCTCTCCCCACCCCCCCACCCCCCCATTCCCTCTGAAATTTGTCAGTCTGTTCCATGCTCCTATTTATCTGGATTTATTTTGGGTGACCAAATCAATATTGAAAAGTCTAAGATGTTTTCAATCTCAATTTGGTCACCCATGGTATTAAATTTCTGCCATCTTCAAAGTTGACATATCCCCCTTTAAGTCATCATATAGGACAGATCAGCCCCTCTGGTGAGGAGATATAAATAAGAAAGAATTTCACAGACTCTAAAATGCCTGGTGTTAGTTTCATAATTATGAACCCGGATATATGCATTCTAGTACAAAGATTCCTACAGGTGCTGTTTCCACTTCAGGCTTCCTTAGAGAATGATGCCCTTACCAGCAAATTGAATAGTGATTATCCCATAATGTTTACTATCTGTGCAAACAGAAGAATATGGTAATTTATTGGAATGAATGTAACTTTTTGAAAAGGTTTTGTTTTGACAAAGTAAATTTAAATGTATTGGATATGTGTGTATGTTTGGGTGAAACAGAAATGTGAAATTTCCATACAGTCAATATTATTAGTTTAATAGTTCAATAATTTATTATGCTTGCACTAAAAATGGTAGCGAACACCATACCTACTGTATGCCCCAAACATTCTAAGACCTTTACATATAATAACTAATTTAATATTCATATTAACCCTATGAGGAAAGTATTGTTTTTTCCACTTCACCAAAGTGGAAGCCAGAGCACAGAAAAGTTCAGTAACTTGCTCAAGATTAGAACCCCAGGAGTGTGTTTCTGGATTTGAACCTAGGCAGTACTGGCGCCTGAGTCTTGCTCTAAACTACTATATTACTTATCTAGATCTTAAGAATTACTAAAAGTTTCCCTGTCTTGGAGTTACATTTTTATTTACCAAGCTCACCATTGGTTTTCTTTTTAGGAACTTCATGTGTGTGTCTACCAGGATTTCAGATGATCTCTAATAACGGAGGAGCTGATATTATTTGTAAAAAGTGCCCAGAAGACAAGGTATGGAGTATTTATCTTTAAATAATTTTACTGTGAAAGTAGTAAATTAAATGTATTTTGTAAACTACCACTTAATACTGTACACTACTATTTCCCCACAACCTTTAACATTATAAAGCTAACTTTTTTTTTTATTAGAGTAAGTTTTGGGAGATTGGTAAAATTTTATGCAAACTTGGAGTACATGGGAATCTATTGCTTTACTTTTTTAAAATTTGAAATAAAAAACTCTCACAAAAATGGTGTGTTTTTACTTTTCCTCATAGAGTAATTCAGTTATAGAGAAAAATAAATGAATGATACATATATGCAGCAATTTGGAATATGTGTATCCTTTGGTACAAATTAAGTTTGGTGTCTTAGACCTATATTTCAATGTTTTATATAATAATTTATGTTTGTAATGATATTACATTGGTAAGTTCATAAAATGCCAATTTGCATCGTTAAATAGGTTAAATAATATCTGTGCTATTCTCTTAGTCATTTCATTATATCATAACTAGAGGCCCAGTGCACGAAATTCGTGCACTGGTAGGGCCCCTAGCAGCTGGCGGTGGCTGGCTGGAGCCTCCCTCCCTTCCCTTGGCCACCTGCTGCCGGTCGGCTCCGCCCCCTGGTCAGACTCCCAGTCAAGGGGACAGTTTGCATACTATGCTTTTATTATGTAGGGTTTTTGGAAAATTAGGAAGCTAACAGTTATTATATATGATGATTCTTAACAGGAATATATTTTCAATCATTTAGGATAATTAAGAGTTTCTGTGTGCCAGTTCTGACTTTTCTAATAATATATCTTCTCATTATCTGTGATAAAAAAAACCCTTGAATTTGGGAATATAATACACAGTTACCAGTTGTCCTACTTTATGGCTAGTACTTATAGATTTGATGATCATTTCGATACTTATTTTTTACTTTTGGAAATATTGACCTTATGATAAATAGCCACTATTAGGAAATGATGACAAAGGAGATTTGTTTTTCAATGACATTACTAAGAAGTCATAATTTTTAAGTAGTCTTATATAAATGTGCTGCCAAATATAGAAGCACTTATTGATAGATCCAGTTTTTCAACCCAAATTTAAAATAATCTGTGGCATTGTTTTTTTATTGCCATTGTTCTCTTTTAATTTTGGCTACATTCATGTTTGTAATGTAATTACTGTACTTTTGTCTCATAATTTTTCTAAATCATTTAATTCAAGCCCAATTTTGAATGATGTCATATTTTACTGATACTAACTATTAATGGATGGAAGGAAATAGCCTCATAATGTAATTTTAACAACTTTGTTTACATATCACTTATATACCATAACATTAGCCTATTTTGAATCATAACTTAATTTTTAAAAGCTAATGTATTTGGATTATTAGAGATTAGAATAATTATTTTAAGACAAGTAAGACTAAACTTAATTGGCTATTTATTAAATTCTGTTGAATGTTGTTTTATCTTTGTAAATGAAAAAACTGAATGACAGTATTAATTAAAAAGCAAGGACTCATTTGAACTGAAAATCATGAAGAAGAAAGAACTATTGCCCAAAGTTAATAGTAGCCAATATATGGTTATAAATGTATATCTTAATTTTGGAATATAAACACAAATTGGCTACACAGGACATTTTTAGGAGGCCTATATGTATATTATATATGTGAATAAAAACTACAAATTATACAGTATTGTGGCTTTTGGACTTTCATGATCAAAAGGAGGAAGAAGTTAAGAAGGAGAAAATAATTTTTTTTTAATTTAGAAAGGTGTTACCAAAGATGGCTGGAACTGCATTTCTTGCCCTGGTCGTTTGACTGCAGAAGGAAAATGCCACTGTCCCCCTGGCCATATTTTAGGTAAGAAGTAGATTTCTTATGAAATAGTAACACATCTTTATTTGTGTTTGATAAGGGCATTAATTGAAATAGCATGGTGATTTCTTAACAATTTCTTTATTACTCTTTTTCAAAATTTAATGATGTTTGAAACAGCAGCAGGCATTAGGAAGAAGATAAAAAGCCCTATCTGATTTTTAATAATTCTTAATAATGTAGGATTAGATGGATACTTCCTTAATATAATATGATAAAATATAAGTTTCAACTCAAAAGCCAACATGATGCTTAATAAGGAAAAATAGTAAGCATTCCTCTTAATGTCAGCACCCAGCAAATGGAAAAGAAAAAAAAAAAAAGCTGGGATAGCAATACTCATCTCTGACAAACTAGACTTCAAAATGACGGCCATCACAAGAGACAACAAAGATCACTACATAATACCAAAGGGATCAATGATGCAAGAGGATATAACGCTGGTAAACATATATGCACCCAATAAAGGAGCACCTAAATATATTAAAAAAAACTTCTAGAGGATTTTAAGGGAGAGATCGACAACAATAATCATACTAGGGGACTTTAACACCCACTAATTTCACTGGATAGATAGTCCAGACAAGAAAATTAACAAGGAAACAGTGACTCTAAAGGACACACTGGATCAGATGGACTTAATTGACATTTATAGAACATTCCACCCCAAAGCTGCAGAATATACGTTCTTCTCAAGTGCACATGGTTCTTTCATAAAGATAAACCACATGTTAGGTTGTTTTCTAACAAATACAACGCTTCGATGAATACCCTCATACGTATGTATATATGTTTTAGTAGGTTAGGTCTCTAAACATGAAATTGTAGTGTTGTAGGGTATGTGAATTTAAAATTTTAATAGATACTATCAAGAGCCCTCTAAGTGGCAGAAACTTAGCAGCCGTCTATAAAAATGCTTGTTTCCCCATTCTCAGTGTAGCAGGAACATACAGGTAAAGAGGTAAGGAAATTTTTCAAGAAAAAATATTAATTTGTTATGAGGATTTGGAGAATTCGTTTTTGTACTTTTTTATGTGAATGGGGGAGGATTTCACTTTTCAATATAATTGAGGTGCTTAACATGCCTTTAATGCAAATAATGTTTTGAGAATTATTAGAATTGCAAGTGAGATGTAATAAGTATGTACAAGCTTAGATATTGACTATGAATTACATCTGAATTTTGCTTTTATATTTTAGTGGAAAGGGATATAAATGGAGCGTTGTTGTCTCAAGCAACCTGTAAGCTCTGTGATGGAACGGAAAACTCTTTTACAGTAGCAAATGCCTTAGGAAACAGGTAAGCAGTGTGCTGCGTGCCGACTGCATTAACATCATTTTATACTTATGCAGGTTCTGTACCTTTTTAAAGTACTTTCCCATATCATTTGCTCCTCACAATAACCCAAGGAAGGATAGCAATAGACATTAACAGCTAAAGAAGCTGAGGCCTAGAGAATGAGACAGAATAGGGTTCATATGTTGTCTCTGATCAGTTGTTTGACCCTGGATAGCTCAATAGGTCAGTCTCCTTGCTTTAGAGTGGTTTATCCCCCCCACTTCATAGGCTGTTATCACAGCTTATAAATAAATATGTTAAGTTCTTTGCATGGTGCTCCAGAGTAAGTGCACATTAGCTACTTTTGTTTGTTATTATGTAATTTGTATGTATCCGTAATACAATATATAATAGTAACTTCTATTTACATCATACTTACTATAGACCAGGTACTGTGCTTTATATATTATGTTACACAAGAAAACATATGAATAAATGTAATGATAAATATAATAATTTAGTTACACTCTTGTAGCCCTCTTCTCTATTACTTCCTGTTCCCCCTTTGTGCATGCATATGTACACACCAAACATGCATGCACACACACCACTCCCTAACTCAAACACATTATTCCTATTTCAGTTTCTTCAGTTTTAGAGGTTACTCCCCTTTAAGTACAGTTTTCAGTTCAGTTGTCAAGTTCAAGATAGAAAATACTTGAGCAGCTTCTTCTAGGGGATATTTTGTGTTGGATCCTCTTTTCTTTCAGGCTGCCCTGCATTGTAGCTCCCAAATACGGACTACTGGGCGGGTCCTCAGATCCTCCCCCCCAGCACCTCTCTAAGCCTAGTTAGAGTTCTGTGCCACCCCCGAGCCCCTCCTCCTACCTGCTCTATCTTGCAAGTAATAAATATCCATCTAAAACCATCAGTGTCCCTACTAGTTTAATGCCCTTTGTCCCTATATATTGTTCATTAATGAAAAATATGTTTTCCTAAAATAAACAATGATGAATAGACTTTAAAATTGTTGGTTGTAAGTTTGATAAGTGGTAGATACATGTTTCTTTTCAGCATGTTACTTTTTTGCTTTGTGGCAGATAAAATAGGGAAAGTATATTTGATACAAGTACTTATAAAAATGGATTGGGTTTCATTTATATGAGTTTGTTGAGCTCTTTTGTTAATTGAGTGATTTATCCATCTTTGCTATTCAGTATTTATTTATTCCTTACATCCCATATGGTTTCAAAAGAACATTACTGGTTAATTTTATTTATTTATACCTTGCCTTGTATTACTAAGAGTGGGATAAAACTATTCAAGTCAGTGTTAATATTTTTAATTTGTTTTCTTACTACAAGTAATTGCTTAGCTGAATGAATCTAATCTAGTGTTTAGGAAGACAATTCTTGATTAAATTCAGCTTTAGCATAATTCATTGACATTTTAAATGTTATTTTTCTTATGTTGACAGGTGTGTCCGATGTGAGCCAACATTCATTAATACCAGCAGGTCCTGTGCGTGTTTAGAACCTAACACCTTAGTAAGGCTAATCAAATTGATAAAGTATATATTTTAAAATTAAATTGCTTATACTGTTCCAAAAACTGTTTTATTTATTTATTTATTCATTTGTTCATTCATTTTTTTAGACAGGGGGCTTATGTTTCAGCAGCACAGGGAATTTTCCTCCACCTATGATTTCATCTGCACGTTATGGAGAGCTTGTGAGTATGTTTAAACTTTTTGTTTCATTGTTAAGAATATTTCTGCAGCCGAAACTGGTTTGGCTCAGTGGATAGAGCGTTGGCCTGCGGACTGAAAGGTCCCGGGTTTGATTCCGGTCAAGGGCATGTACCTTGGTTTCGGGCATATCCCCAGTAGGAGATGTGCAGGAGGCAGCTGGTCGATGTTTCTCTCTCATCGATGTTTCTAATTCTCTATCTCTCTCCCTTCCTCTCTGTAAAAAATCAATAAAATATATTTTAAAAAAAAAGAATATTTCTGCATTTCTTTGGTAATTAATTTGGGATTAAAATAAGGAACATATATGTGTAAATCACTTTATTTATTATTATTATTATTATTTATTTTAAAAAGTTTATTTTATTGATTTTTCACAGAGAGGAAGGGAGATTGATAGAGAGTTAGAAACATCGATCAGCTGCCTCCTGCACACTCCCCACTGGGGATGTGCCCGCAACCAAGGTACATGCTCTTGACCAGAATCGAACCTGGGACCCTTGAGTCCACAGGCTGACGCTCTATCCACTGAGCCAAACCAGTCAGGGCCACTTTATTTATTTTTAAAAAAATGTCTTTTATTGATTTCAGAGAGGAAGGGAGAGGGTGAGAGAGATAGAAACATCAATGATGAGAGAGAATCATTGATTGGCTGCCTTTTGCATGCTCCCCATTGGGGATCGAGCCTGGAACCCGAGCATGTGCCCTTGACTAGAACTGAACCTGGGACCCTTCAGTCCGCAGGCCGACTCTCTATGCACTGAGCTAAACCAGCTAGGACTGTAAATCACTTTAAAACAGAAATTATCAGTCTAAGAAACAGACTAACAACTCAGCATTATACTTTATAAGTTCAGTTCCTGTCTTCTCTACTTTGGCTCATTCCTTTTTCAGTGAATCTCAGAATGTTTAGGCTGAAAGGTCCGTTATAGGTCATGTAAAGAATGCAGTATAATTTACTTAGGAGCACCAGAGACTAGATTTCAACTCTGGATTTACCAGTCATCTGCTTTGTACCTTTGGATTTAGTTAACATTTCTAAACTTCAGTTTCATTGCCTGGAAATTGGGCATAATAATAACACCTACCTCACAGTGCCTGTACATGGTAGTCACTGGAGAAATGAGGATTATTCATATCTAGCCAGGTTCCTTATTTATAGGTGAGGGCATGGTGGCATAGAGTTAGAGCTTTTGCAACAGATCCTAGTGATGCCAGCATCTGGGATGGAAAATGGGAAGTATGAATGAATTGGAACTGAAGTGGTAACAAATCCAAGAGAATAGGAGTTAGATGACTGACTGGGAGTTAGTTAAAGCAGTGAGGATACCCAGTATGCCAGCAGAAGTGGGCAACGCCAGGCCGGCCAAGGCGGGTGCCAGTGTGGGCCCCCGATTGTACCATCCTTCCCACCCCCCCCACACCCCCCCACCCCCGTCACCCCACAGATGGGCCCTGATTGCCGGCCAGGCCTAGGGACCCTAACAAAAGATGAATTTCGTGTATCAGGCCTCTAGTATTAAATAGGAGTTTAATTCTAAAGGGATACCTTGGAGTTCTTTTTAATCTCTCATTTTGAAGGTAGTGAAACCTTATTTTTAAAAAATACATCTTTATTGATTATATCTACACTAATAAAAGAGAAAAATGGTAATTGGCGTACGACCGCTACCCTTCCCATTGGCTAATCAGCATATCCTTATGCAAATTAACTGTCAGCCAAGATGGCGGCCGGCAGCCAGGCAGCTGGAAGCGAACATGAGGCTTGCTTGCTCCCGTGACTGCAGACTCCAAGTTCCCCGCCTGACTTGCCGGCCTCTGAGCTGGCAGTTTGAAACATTCTAACAAATATAGCCAGCCGGGATCTCAGAGCTGAAGTTATACATTGTTTTGATTATAGAACGGCAAACAAACCAGCAGCGGAAGCCTCAGAGCTAGAGCCAGAGCTAAAGCTGGCCCAGAAGAAAAAAAAAAAAAGAAAAAAAGGAGCGGTTGGGAGCTTCAGTCAAAACCGCCAGCCTGAAAGCAGCCCTCAGCCCCTCACCCAGACTGGCCAGGCACCCCAGTGGGGACCCCCACCCTGAAGGGTGTGTGACCAGCTGCAAACAGCCATCATCCCCTCATCCAGGCTGGCCAGGCACCCCAGTGGGGACCCCCACCCTGATCCAGGACACCCTTCAGGGCAAACCAGCCGGCCCCCAGGCCTCTATCCTATATAGTAAAAGGGTAATATGCCTCCCAGCACCGGGATCAGCGGAGCCGAGAGGTCTCCTGGCACCAGATCAGCGTGACAGGGGGCAGCGCCCAAACCCCCTGATCGCCCTGAGGCTCTGTGTGTGACAGGGTGTGGCATCCCAACCCCCTGATCGGCCCTGCTCTGTGTGTGACAGGGGGTGGCGCCCCAACCCCCCCCCCCCCCCCGGCCAAGGGCCCTTGTCTGGCTGTGATGGGGTATAACCATTACCTCTCCTTCGGCCCTGGCCTTGAGGTGAAAGTGGTGCATCCCCAACCCCCTGATCCGTCCTG